GCTACACACTAGAGCACAATCAGGTATGTACAGTAGAAAGTTACTCCTGTGATTAGTTTATACTATTGCAGAGTTCCATTACTAGATTCAAAGTTCCATAATGTGTGCCAGGATTTTATAGTTAGGTAGTATGAGTCCGTGATGATGCCCGAGCACTCAGTGTGGCATGACAAATCGGCAAATCACGAAGTACAGTTGGAAACCACCTTACTGCCATCAAACAATCATCTCGTTATAACACAATCAAGCCTGTCTACCTCAGATAAGCAAGTGTCTTAGTACACTGTTCTTGATATCATAGGTGTCCTCAGTCATGGGACATTTGGTGATTATAAAAAGTACACAGCAAATGTTTAAAACCGGCACCTAAGAAATCACGGGATGGCCCACGCCTGTTATTAAAAATACACCAAAATGATAAGAATTCTCAAGGCAGAGACCAATGCGCAGCAACACGTACACATACAGTGTTTGCATTTGAGCTGCAATTGCAGCAGTTGGCACTGAGTGTCAGTAACACTCTGTTAACAAGTTACGGCAAGAGTCCATAACCCCCCAGAGTGTGCAACTCGTGATCCTTCTCAGCACAAATCAGTGCCGCAACGAAATCCAAACTTCATACGTCATGTAGTGAGTAGCTATGACGAAATGGGAAGTTTGGCCCGGACCTACTTCGCCCGTTTGCCCAATTTGGGGTCTTTCTTACGAATCCACGGCCAGGTAATTGTACGTAACACGCCTGGAAAGGCTCAAGTACACAACTAATTATTTTAGAGTTGTCGAACAGTTTTCTCTTTTGAGTGTCTCTCCGATAAGAGAAGAACAATGGCCACTGTTGAACCTAAAGCAAAGCGCTCCCCATTGTCGCCGGAGTGCAGTGTCTCTGTGGACGATATTCGTCAGTTTTTGCTCGATCTGGGCTCCTCATTTTCTTCTCTCGATTGTCGAGGTTGAAGCACATCTACTTCGAAATCGATCGGGTCTTCATGCCGTGTGCCAAGAGCTATTTCCATCAAATCTTGTAAATCTATATCCATGCCTATTCTTGCTATCCCGGAGTCACGAACTCTCCCAATACAAGCTTTTCAGACAACGAGCAGAGAAACTCTCTTCAAATAAAAAAATTCTGTGACTGTGAAATCAAAGCCGTTCTGCTGACACTGCATAGCCCGTGGAGCAAACGTTTTACGTGACAATTCCGTGGCTTGCTTCAAAGCAACCTTCAACAAGTTACTTGGAACCCCCGCCGGATGTACCAGATATGCACATGGCCCCATCCGCCCATGCTTGCCCGGGGACCGGATGACGCAATGTTTGGATTTCGTTGCGCCAGACCCCAACCTGGAGTTGCACACTCTGGGGGGTTATGGACTCTTGGTTACGGCGACGAGATACATGTATATAGCAAGGAGCATGACTTCATGCCTGGCGTCGCGGGTCACAAGAGAAAACCCGAGCATTGGAAATAATATTAATACACAATGAGAGGCTTTGGGATGCGTCTAGGCAATGCAGTGTAGCCATTCACTGTGGAGCCTGAGAGGAGTCAGTGACTGCTATACTAGGTTGTCGTGCACGGGTGACTTATAACCTAGTTACTTGCAGTGACAGTATCGGTAGAACTAGTAAGTATGCTGGCATAACCTGTACAGGCAAACAGTAGAAATAGCATGGAACATGACCAGGTACAAGTGCACAGCGAACATACTGAGGCGCGCTGTCGAAAAGCACGATGGAAGTGGTTGACCTGGAATGCTCTGTTGGGGACTGCCAGCTACACTTGGTTGAACGCAGCTCACTTCCCCGGTGTAAACACTGTAAGCCAACACACACAAATACATGACCTGTCTCAGCACCAAAGGAAACATCTGCCAGGCACAGAACGCGTTCACGCAGAAGATCTGTGATGGCGTGATACTTCTATGTACTATGGAAGGCTATGCACACATATCCTGATGTAGACTATCTTACAGTATGTTTTACATGGAAGCTACCTTGCTTGGACCAACAGTCAGGGGCGTAGCACCCGCTACGACTGGTACGGCCATGGCCGTACCACTTTTCGAAAAGTGTGGTCCGTCCGGAACGTGCAAAACCATAATAAAAAAATCAGGATCCATCGATGCATACATGTATGCGCATATGGCATGCGCATCAGACTTTGACCTTTTTCTAGACTCGTACTCGTAGATCTGCCGTGCATCTGTGCATGTCCATGCACCTCTCTTCTGACCGTGAAATTATGACTTTATAAACTGTGCCAGAAGTTCCCAGAACGCAGGATTTTGTGTCATTTTTACAAAATTTTCCCGGGGAAGGTCCCCGGACCCCCCTCCAAAACGGCCTTCGGTCGTACCACTTCCAAAACCCCTCCTACGCCCCTGGTGTGTACAATCATGCACAACACACAGCCATGAAAAACTTACAAGTAACTACCTGACACTTGACTAACATTCACACTTGAAACATACTTAGGGAAATCAAACAGGCCTTACCGTGACCAGAAATCCATGGAAAGCTGATGTTCAGCAGTTATTCCGCGATCTCGTGGGAGGGGTTGTCAACATCATCAGTTTGACCATCTTCATCATCAGCACTGTCTTCATTGTCTCCATGAAGTGTAGGTGCCGCAAGCACTTCGGACACAACATTGTGCGGATTTGCGCAGGAACTGCATTGGCATGCATCGGTGCAAGAAATGGAGGACTGTAGGCATGAGCACCGGCGCGTTGAACATCCAGTGGCGCAGGCACACCGGATGATCGCCATCAGCTCTGGTGGTGCAGGAGGAAGAGGACCCCACATGATCATGACATTAGAGTCGTCTACCCTCCATCCATGATCACTGATGCTGGGTAGGTCTGGGGATGCGACCAGTGCCCGTTTCCACACACCAGCCTGGTAGTTGGCCCGTTTGACGTGCTGCTCCAAGCTATCGGCGCATGGTGGGAGCTGAGCAGGGGGTGGGGACCGAGAGCAGAACGCCTTGTGTAGTTGGCCAGGCACGAGCGGTGATACTTGATTTCCCTGGCGGTTGCATCTCCACCAGACACCTCCCTCAAGACCCGCGAGTCACTGCGAATTGTTGCAGCATTGACGACGTTATTGCTCGCACTGAACGATATGCATTGGGTCAGTGGCTCCTTTTCCCACTTCTTCTTTTTGACAGGTGCTGGCAGAATAGGCACAAATTTAAATCTGTCTGGCTCCCACTGGAACGGGTCCGGTTTTTGGGGGGCTCAACATCTCTTTGCTCAGGCTCGCTGTCATCAGTGTCATCATCATCATCATCATCACCTTCACTGCCTTCGTCGCCACCAACAGCCTCGACGGGCCGGACAGACTCAGCAACGGCTGTCTTCAAAGTCTTTTTGTTTGTGTACCACTTGTAGCAGGCTTTGTGGTATAGAACTTCGCCGCAAGTTTCTCTATCAAGATTTCCGATCGACATCCAAGTGTCATCTCTCTTCGTCTCAGCTGCATTCCATAGGGTAGTCCAGGTAGTCTCCGTCAAGCGCTTGAGAGGCTGATGAGCAGGAAAATTCGGGTTGTGACAAATGCATTTCACTCCTTCACCTGAAGCTTTCGCCAAGGAAACAGTTTCCAGCCCCAAATCGTCTGCCATGTCGAACAAGACAACTAACAACAGGAATCATAAACACTTGCACCTTCTTATCTGCCATCTACCTGTCTAGGTTGTCGGACAGATCGGCAAAGAAACTTAGAGAGGCCATGCGATCGGCATTGGATGAAAGCAAAAACACAATAATATTGTCGAAACAGTCAAGTAAGTTTGAAATTTAGTCGTGGGCGGACGTCATCATCCTTTTCACTTGCGCAGAATTCGCATATGCGTGTTTTGAGCATGCGCTTAATTTGCACAGTGTTCGTCTTCGTATTCAAACAAGTCGCCGTAACTCCCTTCAGCCCCAACGCAGAAAAGGCACCCAAGCGCGAAATAATTGTTTGCCCTGCCGATCTCCAACGCGAAGGACTAAAGGGACGCTGGTCTAGGAGTGCGGCAGTTTTTGCGCCATGGCAACGAGGAGTGCGCGCACGCGACTCCACAGCCACCAGCGCAAAGCGTTGTAGGCTGCGGAACGCCGGCAGGGAGAGCGAATGAGACACTTCGCCGTGACCCAGGTAGTAGTTCGTACAGTGCAGCACGAGTACTTGCAGAAGACTCTATTTTTTTCGCGCATCTTTTTCTGGAGAAAGCGAAAAACATAGGAAAGCGATGCTTGCTGAATGAACAAGACGATGGATTAGTTCCTGAAAGTCACTCTACTTGGATTGATAATGATTTTGTTGAGGAGCGGTTTGAATTCGTTACTTTTCACGACAGCCTGACGCCAGCCTGACTTCTGGCTTGCAGTAGAGCTCTCCTTCCGATCCTGTCAATGGTCTCAGATTTGAAAGAAAAATACTCGAACAGTGATATCTATACATCGCTTGTGGAAGGAATGGGCGAGTGCTGGCAATCACTCAGTCTTCGCAAGTAGAGAATGTCCCTGCTGATTACCAGCTGAGAGACAGCTATTCTGTGCTGTGAAACGAAGGGACGATTCTTGAAGTGGAAGAACAATCGTACATGTACTACAGTCCATTCAGAAAAAAATGAACTTCTAGCTTTTGGCCATAAATGGGTCAAACGTTGAGTTTTTTTAGAATTTTTTTCTGCAATCCCATATGGAATCCTCTTCCAATTATGTTTCTGAAGTTTTTTTGTCCAAAAAGCAAGCCATAGCAAGAATAGGATTTCGGCCAGGTTTTGCCCCAAAAGCACTGAATTGGGAAAAACCATCAAAATCCAGGCCGTTTGACCCCGCCTGCAACAGTGCATTCTGCGGTTCGAACCCCAGTTCAGGCACCCTTTTTGGACCCTTTTTCAAATTTCAAAGTTCGCAGCACTGCACTGTGTACGATGAAATCACGAAAAATCGCCAAATACGGGAGCTCGCCAGAGCCAGGACCCAACTTTTTATGAATGGACTGTAGATGTGCTGATCTACTTGTATGCAATGTCACCCACAGTGTGTACAAACCTGTAGGCTAAAGCCGGTGTTACACTGGGGTTTTCTGGATCTTCAAAGCACCAGAAGTAGTATGTGTACTATTGAAAGCGCCCATTCCGTCTTGGAGGTGTGCATCACATTGACATTGTGCATGCGGTCTTTTACTAGTACATGTGTTTGGTCAGAGTCTCATCTCTGTGTGTGTCTGTCTCTCTGTTTGCTTGTGTGTCGGTGTGTGTGTGTGTGCGCGTGCGCGCGCATATGTGCTTATGTGTCTTCATGTGTGAGCAGTGTGTACTTTGAATGTGCCGTGCACAACTGTTTTGTGTGTGTATGAGCTTGCAATTGCCTTGCATGCGCTTTGAACATGTGTTCATGTACGTGCTCCGCAGGACTTGTGATTTTGCCTGACCTTTGAAACCAATTGGACTGCCTGCCCTGGCAAGGGACTCTTATTGCCTAGCTTCTTGTTATGGCGGCATCAACAGTAGCACGTAACGCCACCTGACCTGTCGTTGCTTCACAGCTGCTGCTTTCTCACTTCCGCTGTATCAGTTCGGCGTATTGCCCAGCTGCACCGTGTAGCCGTGTTGTGAAACAGCATACCGGTGCTCCCTGCTCAGTAGCTGTTGTCAGTACCAGGAACTTGGTGAGTGTAGCGGACACAGGTAGTGGCGAGTACACTGCGTCGCTGGTGACACACCGTCACTGGAAATGCCCCGCGTCACGCAGTGCAGCGCGTCACTATTCCGCTCCACCACGTGTCACAAACGCAGCGTTGCAAGGGCTGCTAGCGCAAGTGCAGCGTCTCCAGCATGCTAGCAGGAACAGCGCAGCAACAGTGGCGGAGCACTGAGCCCGGAGCAGAGGTCCCGATTGGCTTCCGCTTGTCATATGCTGTGCGCTGCGATCGGGTCGTTGCTCAGCACCATCCCTTACTTGCTGCAGCAATGTTCCCGCTACAATACTTACCCGGGTGTAGCCAGCAACGGACTGCGATCTAGTGTATCCATATTCTCCACGTGTACATTGGTGCTTGATGACATCATCAAGTCACTGCTTACCTCATCGAATACTAGGAGAGATTTCGCACAGGCTGTGTCAGCACTTGAAGAACATTCAGAGCTGCTCAGGGATCACGCGCAGCTTTTTAAAGTCATTTACGCTGTCGTGCAAGTGGACAAGACTGGCGACCTGATCGTTGATCATACTCAGTTTCCGGACGACTTTCTGGACACTGCTGAGAGTATGGAGCGGAGAAGCTTCTATGGACGGTGCCTCGGCCTTCATGTAAGTCACTGTGATAAGTAAGGTGACATTTGTATGTGTGCTCCGCGACCGTAGAGTACAATAGCTGTCCGTGGTCTTTTAAATATTCCTACCCGATCCCCCTTTGGTGCGTCCATGGAGATATAAAGCCGAGACCTCTGGTCGGCTGAGCTTAATGGGCCCCACCACCACATGCACACTCCATTATTCGCCCCATTGTCTGGAGATAATGTGGATTTTGTAGAGAGAAAAAAGAAGAAAAAAACATCCGAGTTTCAAAACAAACAAACAAAAGTTTTAGCATGCCATGTGCGATTGACGTTGACGATTTGTTCTGTACCATGCTCAACACTCTCTTTTTGCTGCAGAGTGCCAGCTCTGAGCCTTCTAACTAAGGCAGTCATCATTCACTTCCATGGTGGAGGGTTTCTGGCGCAAACGTCACAGTCACATGTGGTAGGTCATTGGAAACAAATGGGTGTGCTTTGCTGCCATGCTCCATCCATTTCTCCGCTGCCCTAGCCAATAAAAAGATACTGTGTCATGTGTGTAACACGGATGTGCACCAGGTTTTCATTTGGCCCCATATACAATAGTACAGTATTGCTCCATGACATCCAGTCGCGTCACTCAAGTACGTGCCGGGCGTTGCGCAGCCCTAGACCTGCGAACACTGGGCTGCGAAATGGTGCACGGCGCAAACTTGACTCACTCGACCGAATTTCATTGAGCAGCACTGTACATAATATTAGTATACCCTATGCATGTGTCTTCCTTGTGGTGTATTGTTCATGCAGAGCTATCTAAGCCACTGGGCCAACCAGCTCAACGTTCCCGTGGCGTCCGTTGACTACATGACGGCCCCCGAGCACCCGTACCCACGTGCCGTCAACGACTGTTTCTACGCGTACGCCTGGGTGCTGAGGAACGCCACCAGCCTGGGTACCACTGCCGAGAAAGTCATCCTGGCCGGCGACTCGGCTGGAGGTAACTTTGTCTTCGGAGTGGCATTCCTCGCTGCGCAGTACCAGCTTCGGAAGCCGTGTCTGGTTCTGGGCGCGTACCCTGCTCTGAAAATCTCACTGGATCTGTCACCGGCACGCTGCCTAAGCGTAATGGATCCGCTGTTACCCATTGGAACGCTGCGGGCATGTTTGAATGCGTACCGGGGGAGTGGCAGGTGAGATACCAGTTCTTCTTTTCCTTGGAAATTTCACTGTACAGTGCATTCCTGGGATTAGCACATTAGAATTGGCAAACGTGTTCATCTTTGGATAGTGACAGCTGATAAGAGGTGCATAGACTGTCACTCCAAGTAAAAATTCCTTCGGTGCAAATAGGATTGCCCATTTCACAATATATACCCTTACATTGTAATGTGAACAGTCGGCGTGGAGACAGTAACTTTTAAAACTATAGCTAACGTGGTTGCGGTATTGGTGTGCGACAAGCGAGGTGGCATGAAATAAAAGTTAGGCTTCAACATTAAATACCCAGGGTCTAACACCCTTTTCTCCTTTCATCGGGTGTGGAGTGCTGTTTCGACGACCCTGCGTATCCTTTCCCAGACCTCATGTGTGAAGTACCTCACCTGTGAATCATTGAGGTGGATGTCCCCTACTGGCCCTAGAGGTACGCTCAGGGAGTACGTAAATACCGGTGTTTTTCTACTCCCTGATACGTTCTACTGAAGTTTGACTGTATGCGACGTAGTGACAATGATAGGCGTTACATTACTTTGTCCACGCCAACGTAGGCACCTTCTCTGGGAGGTTGCTCAGTTCACCCAATGTGAGAGCTGTTCGCACAATATGGGACGGAATTGGCTGTAGGCTGCAGTCTCCCTCTGCGTGCGTGTGTGTTTGTGTGTCCACGTGTACTACGGTGAAACTACACCAAGTCACGTTCTTAGCACATCGACAATCAACTTTCACACTTCATGTCTTGTGCTTATGCAATGTGAAAGAACCTACAGTGCTGCTCAATGAAATCCAGTCGAGTCACTCACGTACGTACTGGGTGTTGCACTAGACCTGCGAACATTGGGCTGCGAAATGGTGCAAGGCGCAAACTTGACTCACGCGACCGGAATTCATTGAGCAGCACTGTACTTTAAAGTGCTTTGCTGTGACTTTGTCACTTTCTGGTTAGCTGTGATTTTGTCACTTTCTGGGTAGCTGTGTATGCTGTGCACAACCGGATTTCATTGAGCAGCATTGTATGGTTTTGTCACTTTCTGGGTAGCTGTGTGCACATCACCTCAAGCTTTGATTTTCATCACCTCGAGCTTTGATTTTCATCACCTGGAATTGAAACAAAACTGCGTCGCTTCCTTTGTCCTGCTTTCTTTATCTGATGCAACGTTGGTGATGGATGAGGACAGAGAGGTCTGTGACTAGAGGCAGGTGTTTGGTGGACGTGGACCGTGTGACTTGCCTTTGCCCTTGCTATAGTCTCCTTAAAGTCATCGGAATCCACTCTCTCAGTCTCTCTGTGCTCGCACTGCTAGGCTATGCTGTGGATGCACTCCGCAACGCTGATTGCTCCGTGAGTACCAGTTCATGGTGTTCTTCTCTTGTCCTGTCCAGCACGCCAGAGTATCACCCGAACACCGGTCACCTGTCACAGCTGCAGTCGGGCATCCACCACTGTCATGCCACCATTCTGAATGCTTCGCCGGCTTACCTCTCTCCACTGCTGGCCAGTGATGAGATGCTGCACAGCTTACCATCGGTTGCATTGCTGGTAAGCCACTATAGCACACATGGCAGTACGGTATGAGCTATGCATTCACATACCAGTAGCTGAGGAGTGCTAATTCCGTACTTATAGTATTGACAAGCTAGCCTATTGATCAGGAACTGTCCGCAAATACACCCCTGTCCAAAACTCTTTCGAGAAGGAACCTTTCCGATGCCCCGGAAAACCCAAGCACTGCTATACCACACGTAGGTGTGTGAATTGTGACTAGATGCAATAGTCATGTACATGTAACTAAGTTAGGCAACCTTACAACATGTGCAATGTTGGAAGTGTGTTTCACCAAAAAGGAGGCCAAGAGTAGAGAGTCTTCTGTGTAGTCTCTACATGTGACATGATGAGCATGTAAACAACCTAATTCTGAAGTACATGCACATGTACGTACTTCACAGGATCTTTTGGAGCCACAGAGTCAGAGGTCAGCAATGTTGTGACAGGCCCTGCCCTGTAGCTCTGGGTCTGGGTGTGATGTACAGTCAGACCTCGCTTATCCGGATCCCTCGCGACCCGGAAGAAAATAGCTGGCTACAGATTTACAGCATACGTGATGCATCCAATGTAACCGGTGTTCGGTTATCCAGTTCCCTCGCCTATCCGGATATTTTTGTGGAAAACGGATGTGTGCGGTTAAGCGAGGTCTGACTGTACTGTTAGCATTTTCAAGCCTTACTGATCAATGCAAGGAGCAGTCTGTGTGTAATGAGTAGCTATGTATGGAGCAGCTAGTCTGTGTGTTATGAGTAGCTGGCCATGTGAGTTCCATAGAAAATCGATTGTGCCTGAGACATGTTGCGTGTCTGGGAAGGGGTGTTAATAGAGAGGTTAAGCTTTACGTGACACGAAAGTTCAGCTCGCGTGTTGGAAAACAACGCGAGTGACCTGCAGCTCACGTCGAAATTTGAAGGTTTACGCCTAATTTGACGTGATATTGCGCATCACGTCAGAAATAACGTGCAGCTTAACCTCTCTCTAATAGTCAGTCATGTGAAGTGTGTACAGAGCACCTTGGTAAGCACATATAGATCATCTACATGTATGTGCTTGACCCTGCTAGGAATGGGAAGGTGGGTTACTAGCACCCCTTCCACAGAGAGTAGTGTGCAGTATGAGCTGATAGAACTTCCATGACAGCGACCTCCATTGGAGAAGGACCCCTGCTGTCTAGTGGAAGAGTTGCCTGAGGCTCAGCCGTACTTCTTATCGGTATCTTTGAGTACAAGAACATTTCAACATGCTACATTATTGTGCTCCTTTGTGGGTGTTCAAGTAAGAAAGCTATGTTTCTTTGCCGATAGATTTCTTCGTGCTATGGGTCATCTCTTACTCTGTGTGTGTGTGTGTGTGTGTGCCAGCTAGTTCAGTTGGTGGGTACACTTATGCCTGATTGTGTTGGGTATGTTGCCAACGGGCTCAGCTGCTTGAAGGTGTAATGTTGTACTTGCCACCTTTGTTGGTTCCAGGGTTCATATACTTTCTATTTGAAGTATACATACCTGTTAACCATGGACTGCTTCTGGCTAGATTAACTCTTGTGTAATCGATGGTGCTAGTGATGTCTAAATCAGATCCAGCCTGATTTAGCCACCCGCACTAGTAGCAAGTATTACCTCCACTGGGGGCAGGGGTAACTGCAGTTGGATCCCAGGACGGATACCCTGATGCCGTCAATCCTTTTTCTGCACCTTGTCCACACCCACTTACTGAGGTGTGGTGAGCCCATAAGTGGGATCGTTTTCAAGTCCACCCAGAGTTTTGGGGATTTCAGGGGGTGTCGGCCGTTGGGCGGTTCAATAACCAATTGAGTCATCTTTCCAAGATTCCTTTACAGTCTCTCTCCCCTCTCCCGGGGAGACCCACGTGACCACTTTTGGCAGTGAGCAACAAGTACAAGTACAGGTGTGTGTGTGTGTGTGTGTGTGTGCATGTCTCTCTCTCTCTCTCTCTCTCTCTCACACACACACTCTCTCTCACACACTCTCTCTCTCCCTCTCTCTCTCCATCCGTTCTGTTGTACCTTTCAGCCAAGTTCATTTAACCCCCTCTTGGATGATTCCATCGTCATGGCGCGTCGTCTGCACGCACTCGGCAAGGATGTGACACTACGCCCATTCGACGGAATATCCCATGGCTTCCTCAACTTCCACGCAGTCAGCCGCTTGGCGCAGCAAGCCACCAACGTGTGCATTGAGTTGATGGACGCAGCAATCAAGCAACACGACCAAGATGTTTAGTCGTGATACAAGTAGTGCCTATTGCAGTACGAGATGTCACCACTCATGCGTTCTCAGTGCAGCACCGGACATTTGCCCATTGGCACTCATTTTACGAGTATTGAACTATTTTTTTTAAATACTTAAGTAAGGTCCATAATTAGTTTTATTCCCGTAGCTATGCAGAAGACGTTACTGAAGACGTTACTTCAGTAACGTCTGGCGCTAGCCAGGGTCCACACAGCTTTAATTTGGTGTTTGTGTCACGCCTGGCGCTATCCCGTATCTGTCCCGAACCGTACCATCAAACACAGCTGGCCACATACAGCTGGCCGCAATATTCGAATAGGGCTTTCAAACGCAAGATCATAACGTGAAGCAACTTGGAAGAATGAGTATGAATGCGGAGTGTATGGGGGAATGCATGCAGGGCGACAGTGCGGGTTCGAATCCCAGGTAATGCCCGAAAAAAACAGGAGAAAAATTTATAACCTCCCTTTTCTTTTTTTTGCCGTCATCAAGGCGGTAGACGGTGTCGTATTACCCTCGACCGTACCTATCCTGACCGTACCGTACAATCAAAAACGGCTGGCCACAATGCATATTCAAATAGGGCTTTCAAATACAAGATCATAACGTGAAGCAACTTGGAAGAATTAGTATGTATGCGAAGTGTATCGGGGATGCATGCAGGGCGATAGTGCGGGTTCGAATCCCAGGTTTAATATGTCTAAAAACAAAAAAGTAGAAACTTATAAGAATTTATAACATCCCTATGCTTTTTTTTGTCTAGGTCATCAAGGCAAAAAAGCATAGCGTAGGGCCCTGAGCTTCCAAGCTCTCTCGTTACCAAGCATCAAGTTGAAGTGGTTTGGACATGTTGCAAGGCATCAGGATAGCTACTCCCACTATTTCTTGGATGGAATAGTGCCTGGTTCTTGGCTGCATGTAGTCTAGCCTATTTTGCACTAGCGTGACCCATGCTACCGGCATACCGACAGCTCCTAAACAAAAAATAATGCGGTGCCCACGTTATTGTTGATATAAATATGACTGTGGCTAGTAGGGTAGTGATCAACACAGTAAAGAAATATACACCAGTTCTATGTGCGATAGTGCAGATCTGATACTTGCTGGATATAACATTGGAGGATAGCGTCAATATGCACTTGGAACAATAGGGACAGGCCAGCCGTCTAGATGACTACATTATCATACTCCCATCAGAGGGTGTACATGATTTAAACATACACACATAAAACGAGGCACTCAACTGTGAATGTACAAAGAGCCATGCGAACACGTAGTCTATGTCTTTTTCTTAGCCTTGGCGCGGGGCACCTTCGTGTCCGCGGATGCCCATGCCTTGAGGGCACACAGCTTCTTGCCCAGGTCAGTCAAGTCGACACCAGCTAGTTCAACCTACAAGTACACCGTGTAAACACAGAGATAACACTGTGTTACATGTGTGTATCAAGACTCGCTGACTGAAGACTCACGAATCATGCATGCTCATATCACACGTGCGCATGCGAGACAGGAGACAGTTTGGGGAATGTCATCACACAGGAAAACAATACTAGCACATCGTTACACCACTGGCACTATGATAGGCATGTGACGTCACCCGGATGATGTGGATACATGAATGCAAGGGTATCCGGGATGTGAATACAAGAACACAGACAACAGCACAATAAGCACACAGCTACAGGAAACAACGCGAGGGGCAGTACCCAGAGCACACACAGGGAAGCAAACAATCACATGATCCGCTAGGCAGCAGCAGGACAACAAAACAGCCTAAGGACTACGAGATCTCGTATACTTAGCAGCAGGACAGACACATCCATTACTGGTCACATCAGCCGGCGGAGCACCCGCAACATACCTTGTCCTTGATAAGCTGTCCACGATTCTTAGCTCGTTCTGAGTGGAGGTTGATGGATGGGAACATCTTTACAAATTGAACATACCTGCAGAGGACATTGTAGGTCCACAAGAACTTGTCATAACACGAACCCACACATAGCCTAGAGGGATGATCCTTTCCCACCAACGACTACTATTCAAGACTTCAAGTACCATAGTACAATACATGTCAGTAGCCTATAGCGATAAGCAGCCCATAATTAAGTTCTCCGTATTCCAGGAGGGTCTAGATGCTGCTAGATATCCGGAGAGCATCATCTACTCATGTACCGTAGAGCAGAGCTTTATCATAGATATCAGTCTGGTTGGTGAGAACTGAGTAGGCGGGAAAGCACCTAGTACAAACCACTGCATCAAACTTTAAAACAAATACGGACACACACACACGAGCGCACACTCATACACACACACACACACGAATACTCATATACGTAGCAGTGTTCTGACGTACCTTGCTCGCGTGCTGTTGTTGGGCCGACTGCCGTGCGCCACACGCTGGTCCCAGATGAGTAAGCTGCCAGCACGCATGGGTACTCCCTGGGGCTGTTTGTACATGGGATCATGGCCATGCACAGGTATAAAGTTCTACAAAGAGAACACAGAGATCACAGGAAACAACCAACCATTTGAATGGTAAAGTAGTCGTTGTTGATGAAATCCAGCCAAATAAAACATCAGTACCCCGCAGCAGTACACAGACAACTGTCCCTGTGGGCAACAACTGTATGGTCCTGACCCTAGTTGAGCATGATACGGCTGGATTTTGCTGGACATGGCAGTAGTTTTAAAAAGCAGCACAGTCCTGGAGAAGGTTGCAGGAGAAAACAAGTAGCTGAAGAGAGAGTTTTTTTTTGCAGATTTAGATTTATATTGCTCCAGGAATGGTCAAGGGTGAACAAGGGTCTTGTCAACTGCACAAAGGTGTTGTTTGTTGCTCGGACCGCGGTCACGTTCTCAGTACTGAATATCACACCAGCCTTGTCGCGCTATACATTGTGCCGTGGTGGTCACAGGTGAACGCGTTGGAGTGTCGCTTCTCAACAGAGCCTACAAAACAAAGTCATGGCGAGTGTGCCGTTATCACCGTTTGCATGAAGCCTCAGATGTCCAGGAGTGATTCTTAGTTTCTTACCTTGCCCTTGGCTCAGCTCCAAGTTTTCCTGTTTCTGTAGTTACGTCATGACCAGTATGGCACTCAGCTGTGGGGTAGCTAAGGATGAAACTAGTAGGGTGCAGAAAAAAAACACATATACATCATACATTAAAAATCCGGTTTGCATCAGCTGTGGATTTTTCAACTCCCATCCTCCCAGTCCCTGCAGAGAAACGAACGGAACTTTGGTATAATTAGTCTGATGTGATATTGAGTCGCGTGATATTGCAAGATAACACACAAAATGTAACACATTGAGTGCCAGATTAGATAACATTCATATCACTTATGTAACATGGACAAATGTGGGCACAAGTTATGCGATTGAGTCTACCAACTAAGCCAGATTTTGAAGAGTCGGACGTGCACAATCCAGCACAAAACTGACAAGGAGCACGGAGACATTCCACGGCATGAAAGTGCCTTGTGCCCACATTTTTCCATGTTACAATTTTTTCTTGGCTCACCGTCTGAGTTCCAATCTCTTATGTGTTGAGTTATAGTATTCTTGAATTGTGTTCAGTTTATCATCATTATAATAAGGTCGAGCATTGAAACGATTGTTTTCAGAATCAGAATATTCTTTGAAATGCTGATAAGTAGTTGATACATGTGGATAACACAAGTGGTTATTTGTAGAGGTTATTCTTCTGGCAACTTTTTATTTCGCCATTTGTTTGGATAATGAACCTACCGCTCGCACAGACTGAGCTCACACAACTTCTCAGCTTCAAGGGCAGTCGTAACTGACTTCTTTAGTTTCTCCAGCTGGGTGTTGTGTCCTCCACCTTGTTTCATGCTGTCAAACTAACAACATGTATGAACTATAACAAGGTTTATCTAATACTAGTATTGTACTAGTATTGGGTTTGTACAGTCTATATCCAGCCCACTGATAATGGTGCAGACCCACTCCGTTTTATGTGTCTATCAGCACTGCTTGTTGTACTGTTGTGCATTATCATACTACTACGCATTCGTTCCTCATGTTGTATTCACGTCTGATGCGCGTAGTCGCGTACACTGCTTTCATTCCTCATGTTGTATTCACGTCTGGATGCGCGTAGTCGCGTACACTGCTTTCACTTCTCATGTTGTATTCACGTCTGATGCGCGTAGTCGCGTACACTGCTTTCGCGCAATCTTTTGATTTGAATGTTTCTTGAATCTCCGCTTCTGCTTCGAGAGAGGCAGAACTTTCCTTTGTACTGCAAGATGATTTCGATCAGAGTCAGAGTAAAACATTATAATACAGTCTTCTAAAACAACGAGTCGTGTGCTATCCGGAGGCATGTTCGAGTAAGAACAGGGTTATATAATAGTACTTATCTGTATCAGAGGGTCCCGGGCATCATACAGGCGTAGGAATAGGGCCTTTGTAAATAGCTGCCGTTCTTTGCCAGTACGGTAATGTTTCTGTGGGCTCTTTTACCTAGGGTTTTTGTCTTTTTTTGTGTTCCAATTGATTTTTACTTTATATTTTTGTGTTTAATACTAACATTCATGCATTTTTATGACTTGGGGCTCCCCGCGTGCTAGAGTGTACGTGAAGTGTGTGGGTACAGTGAGGGCTGCGTCCCACCCGCCTGCGTGGATTCACAGGAAGTGTAAGTTACGAAGTCTGAAGAAAATGTTGAACAGTCTCTGCTGGGATGACGACTACACCATAGCTCAGTGGTTAGAGCATCGCTGGCTTCAAGCGAAGGTCCCTGGTTCGAGTCCAGGTGGTGACAGTCATTTTTGTTCAGACTTTTCCTGTTTGTCTCTTTCCCTCAAACTAGTGAAGATTCATGCATTTAAATTGATTTTTGTACTTCAAAGTAGTTTACTGAATTTGAATTTGTTTGATGATATGTGCAATTCATTTTTCCCGCACAAGAGGCTTTACTAGTACTTACCTGCGGAGGCATTGGTTGTGAGAGTTACCACCCCACCCTCGCAGTTTGGCGCTGCATCCCCTCTGAGATGAACGGCTGCTGAAAATGTTATTGCGTCTGCGTTGTTGTGACTGCTTTTGCTACGCTGCCTGCTCTTCTTGGCATTGCTGCTGCTACGAGTACGAGTTCGTACTGCAGTCTTCTGTCTTGGCAATTACTGCACTAATAAAATAATATTGAAGTAATACGCGGAAAACGAAAACGAAAGGACGAACGAAGAAGATTGCTGACCATGACGAACAACAGTGCATATCCAGACGACAGACGGCTTGCCAGAATCAGTCTGGTGCATCTTCAGGAATCCTAATCGCATTCAGCAGTCAGCTTCGAGGTCAAGTTTCAGAAGGAATAATTTTAATTTTTTTTTAAAATT